CCCCAAAACCCCAAAACCCCAAAACCCCTAACTCATATCCTCTAATTGAATTCAAACTTAGGTGAAGATTTAAGAATCCTGAAGGTTTGGTAGAACATAGGAGCCAAATAAGACTGCTCCCAAAACCCAAAAAAGAACAAGGAGTAGGGTTTGAAGATATTTAGCATTATATCAAAGCTCAAGCTCATATTTGAAATGCTGCTTATCGACTTCACCACAACATTATATACTTAATGAGCTAATCTCGCTAGAGCTCACGACACTAACACAGCCGACTACGACAGAATAAACAACATTGTTTTTTGTAAATAATTTGATAAAAATTTCTTTCGTTTATAATAAAGTAAATATGGAGGATGACGGGAAAAATGTAATAACCTATCCTCACACTAAGTTGATACCAATAATGGAGCTTCTGAGCCTGAGAAGTCCACAAACTAGTCAGCAAACCCATTAGTGCACTTACCAGTAATATTTGGAATTATTAGACACATTCTTCGATCGGCATCTTCCCAAATAAACCTGAGTTCGCCATTGGTTGTTTGATATATAAAAACTAAGAATCGATTTTGCAAAAGATGGTAGGTCAACAACCTGGAGTTTATAATGATCTACATATTTCCGTAATTGCATGACTCAAAGTATTCCGATTTGAAAGAATTTTGAAAACATTCAGGATTTCATATGCCCTCATTTTTGACTTCTAAAAATATTATTAAAGTCGAGTAAACTGATGAACTTTAGGTTTAATGAGAATACACGCAGAGTTTGCCTACGAGTTGGTACTGTCAAGCAGAGATGCAAGATAGTGTCAACTTGCCAACTTATGACGACCAAATCCATGCTTAGCCTAACAATATTTCCCCTATTTCTCCGCCGCTTTTAATAATTATTTGTTCAAAATCTCCATGATTCTTGGAAGATTTCCCATGATTCCCAGCCAAGATTTCAGAAGACGGAAGCGAATTTATGTGAAATGTAAAAAAGTTATTAATATTGGTCTTGTGGGGTCTTCATGCAGGTTGCTAACACCTTCAGCTTATTTAGGTGAGCCTTGACTTTCTGTTGGAATGCTTGCTTTTGCTCATTGAAGATTAAGCTGACCACGTTCTCCAGACTGATGAAATATAGTAGGACATGGAAGAACTCGGGGTGTTCATTCATCAGTCTGAACTTCTTCTCAGAGTAGAAGTACAGTAGTTTGCTGATAGTATCTTTGAGTTGGGTGTCTTCTTGTGGAATCGTCCCAAGTCTGCCTTTAGCGTTGACGATGCAGTCAAAGATTACTCAGACTCTGTCAAGACGGGCTTCAGGGAACTTGGCCTTGCAATAATCTCTGAGTCTTTGTGGGTAATCTTCCTTCAATTGGCGAGAGGTTGAGTCTTTGGCAAACTCCTTGATGAAGTATTTGCGAAGTCTTCTGAAAGCAGCCTTGAATACGACATCTTTACGAGTGTTGTAGTTCAGCTGAGCCCTTCCTAGAGTGAACTCTTCTGAATCAGAGTCGTGCTTCGGAGCCTTGGATTTAGTCTTCGATCTAAGTCTGGAAGCATCTTGGAGAGTAGACTTGTCAGTCCTTTTATGTTCATCAGGGTTGTTTGCTTCAGAGCTCTTGGAGCTATTACAGTTTTTAGCTTCTTCATGGACTAATATCTCAGAGGCCTTGCTGCTCTCTGCCTTTTGAGCTTCAGACGCTTTGTTTTGGGGATTGGATGCTTGATGACCATCTATTCAAATACAGTACTTGGCAAGCAACTCTTTCATTGCTTTACCAGTGTCCTGGATGCCAGTTTGGTCTGATAAATATTTATTCAGAGAGGGATGGCTTTCTATGCAATGTATTAATAACAAGAGAGTATAAATTTAGAATATCTATCAACAAAGCTTTAAATCGTTTGAAGGTACAGACTATAGTGCTATGGTAAGACTTCTCTACTCTATTTATCACTTCTAGCCAAGTTATCAACTTTAACACATTTGAAATTTTTTAAACCTTCAGGATTATAGCCTCTCAGAAACACTTTCATGATTCTAACAAACAACCTCGAAGGTTATTTCATACAAAAGTCAGGTGGACTTACTCTCGTCGTTGTTGTCTTCAGTTGATTTTCCCATGGATTGCTGTGCATGATCCCAACAAAATCCAGGATAGCATTGGCTAGCAACCTGAATACTCAAAGGATTTAACATGATTGTGGAGTCTAACATATTTTTCTTGATTATATCACTTATTTCCACTTAAAATATTACCTACGGGGTTTTGGGGTTTTGGGGTTTTGGGGTTTTGGGGTTTTGGGGTTTTGGGG